AGTTCTCTAGGGAAGGGGAAATGTGAAGCACTGGAGTATGGCCATGCTGATTCCTGCCACAAGGAACTCTGTAGGGTTAATCATTTAACAGTTCATGGAGAATCTTTCCCTGAAGAGCCAGCAGCTTGTTGCTGTGTCATCCTCATGCTGCAGGAAGACAAAAGGGATGAAAGAGTGGAGACGGCCCTGGTCATCCAGAAGAGTAGGTGATGACTGGACTGGGCAGAGTAGTGTGCCAATGTTGGGGCCCTCCAGAGGTATACTATTTCCTGATCTGAAAGAAGTCACAGAGTCATTGTCATGCAGAGTTTAGTCCCAAACCTGGGGGAGGGATGATGGTTTTACATTTTTCATCACACTTCATCAAGTTAATGGATTCATATGAAAGGGAAATTTGAGCAATGGCTGTGGGTAGGGTTTTTGAATTTAGCGAATGTCAGAAGTCCCAGGGAAACTTCTGTCCCCATCTCCACAGGTGGCAGAAAGGGGAGGTAGGGATGGAGAAATGGTGCACCATAGCAAAATTCCAGTCTGGGGTAGGGAGGTATGGCTTAGGTGAGATGCTTCCCCATTCAGAATGTTTGGGGAAGAGTGGGAATTGTAGTATATTTCCCTGAGCTGTGGGAAGACCAAGAGACCCAGGCTAGACTTCCCAATCATGAGGCCAGGGAGAAAAGACTATATTTAAAAAATACCCTTTTCACTTTGGGGCAAGGGAAGTTAATTGTTCACACAAGCTATAGAGGGGCCACACACAGCAGATATTTTGCAAGGATACACATACATTTATTGGTATAGAATGACTGGCACTTCCTGACTGAGCAGTGAAATTCTTTGATCTACCATTGCCTCAGCTGAAATACTTTGGAAGCAGTAGAAGCCTACTGTACATATATTGGGTAGGGGGTTGTTGAGGCCACACTCACCTTCATCCTTAGTGACAGGGACTGCAGGGAAGTCAGGTAGCTGCCTGTGATGCACAAGACTGTATCTCTGGAACAGTTGTAACAGTTGACACTGGTTCAGCAATGCTGGTGCCATCACAGATGTCCTTCACTGTTTAGGGCACCAGCTTTTCCTTCTGGATATCACAGAAGTGAAGGCTTTCTGTAGTCGCATCTCTCCACCCTTGCCAAAGTCCTCCTCCATATGCCTCCCTCCTCCACTGTTTTGGGCCAGAAGATGAGTTGAGTTAGAAATTGTGGCTAAGTGATGTTTTCTCCTGACAGGATCTTGAGCTGCTTTTCATAAAATGAGCACACTGCCCTCTCATAACACTCAGTTTGTATCTCACACCATCTTCAGGTCCTTTGTATGCCATCTTGAGCTCCTCGATTCTCTGCCGGTATTGGTTGGCTTCCCATTCATACCCTCATAATGGTGTTTGCATCATTATTCTTGTGTAGACAACTTTGCTGAGATGGTTTCCAAAGTGCCTGCTCCACATCCAGCACAACCCAGAGGGTCAGGAGAGACAAGGATCAACTTGTACCTCCAAATCTATGACCAGTGCATACAATGCATCTCAGTTCTTTGATGGGTTTTCATTATGTACTTTGGTGGGCTTCCAGTATGCATTTTGATTGCCAAACTGCAAAGGACAATGATCCAGCACAACTGAGGTGCTGTCACCCCTTCACATTTCCTTTGCATAGGGAAGGGTCATATGGTTTGTCCACTCCTCAAGAGCAGTTAAGAGTTGACAGGTGGGGAGAGGGGGCTGTGGTGGTGAAATGCAAAGCACAGTGCAATTATTTCTGGCTAGCCTTTCCACTACTCCAGACAATGGTAGTGGATGCACAACACATACACTGGTATAAATTTCTCCAGGGTAAATGTACTTCTTCTATCTTTGTAAGTTGTAACTTTATATTAGAGTTACTCTTCCTACTCTTAATTTAAAGAGTTGGTGCTTAAAGAAGCATATAACTTGGTATCAGGACATTTTCTTTAATCCTAGTGAACTGAACAGAATACTACAGACTCCTCCAATTTGCTATCTACCTAAAATACACAAAAACCTTGTGCCAGATGATATTTAAGAATTTTAGAATTGTTGTTAATTTTTCCTTTTGTTTTTCATTACTAAAACTTACTTCTTCCAGAAAGGCTGAAGAGTATTACCTTATTTAAGAGAATTCCACCAAGAACTGATGCCTTTCCAAAACACCCTTTGAAATGTCCCTTTGCTCTATGGGAACTGAAGATACAAAGCTTCACCACCTGTCTTCAAATGAGGCTTATTAGAATAATGTTGTGCCTCACCTAGAAAGCTAGTTCTGAAGTACCAGGATCTAATACAACTGCAAAAGCACACACTGGGGTTTCTTTAGATTTCTAATCCCTTAGACACAAAATGCTAGATATTAAAAAAAAAAAACTAAATGAAGGCCACCTTATGCTTATTTTTCAGTGTTGTTAATTTTCACAATATTATCATAAGTTGCATGATAGTTGGTATTTTCCTCAAAACCCAGAGTTCCTGGAGATTTATGATGATACATAAGAACACAGCACTTGAAAGGGCCTGCCCTGTGCCATCAGGTTTGGTCCCTTTTATTCATAGGCAACCATTAACCCAAAGGATCCCCAGAATGGCCATTTTAAACTCTTAAGCACAAATACAAAGCACAGTACTTAAAACATCACATAGCATATCATTGGTAAAAGAAGCGGAAATGTAGACACCACCAATATCCTGCTACTACAGTGACAGGGAAGTAATGGATTAATATATGCTTAGAAGTTTCTAGGAACAAAAGGTCATGCCACATGTTACAGAGCAATGAGAGTGAACCTTTTTGGCAGGCATGCCACAAATTACCTCTTTACACTCCCCTAGTGTCACTCCAGTCCCCTTCCTCTGCCCGATTTGCTGCTCTGCTTGATGCTCCCTGCCCTGTGCTCCCTGCCTTATCTGCTGCTTTGCTTTCTGCTTCCTTCCCTTTGCTCTCTGTCCAATTTGTTGCTCTGCTTTCTTCTTCCTGCTTTACCTGCCACTGTGCATCCTGTCCACTCATCATTTTGTTGTGTGCCACACAGAAGACTGCCCATGCTACTTGTGGCACCCCCACTGTAAGTTGGCTACTCCTGCTACACAGAAACAAAATCCTTCCCCCTTTCCCACCAACACACACACAAACGTGCCAATCTGACCTAAGTAAACAAATAAAACCCTGTAGCCAGGAACCTCTGAGCTTTCTAAGTACTGGCAGGAGCATCAGCACACCCCAGCAAAGCCCCTCAGCCTTGTGGGCAACGTTCCTAAGGGACCTAAGTGTAGTACGTGGCTTACAACCTGACACCGTGGTTGTATTGTCATACTCAAAGCCCATATTGGGGCCTCACCATGAGGCCCAGCACACAAGGTGCTCAGTCAGGCTAACATCCAGGTGAATCCAGCTGGTTGGTGCATGGAACGGGGAGGTGGAGCCCCAGGAACATCCACTGACAACACCTCCCATCAAGTCCTAACATGGAGGGAACCTCCCACTCTTAAACAGAACAGCTAGATGTGGCGGACAAATATCGGGGAAGGATATTTGTCCGCCCACAAATATCGGGGAAGGATATCTTCTCCATGGGAAGGAGATATACAATCTGCGAAAGTGCCCAAGAGAAACCAGAGGCAGAATAAGAGTAACCGATTCCGAGCCGCTCGGGAAAGGCTACATGAAGACTGACGGGTACAGTTTTTAATAGATTTCCGGTATGCGTTCATTCTTGTGCACAGTTGTTTGATCTTACAGCTGAACCTCCAGAAATGTAATATATCTTATCCAATACACCAGGTGCCCCTACGGAAAATATGTAGGAAAGACCAAACAACTGCACACCAGAATGAACGCACACTGGGAATCTATTAAAGACAAGAATACCCAATTACCTGTGGGGGGACATTTCTCACAAGAAAACCACTCTCTCTCCAGTCTCTCAGTTCTAATCCTCAAAGGGAATTTACAAAACACTTTTCACAG